TGTGTTGCAGGCGTCAGCAAAATTTTCAAGATCTACTTTAATTCTAAACCTTTTGTGCGGAAACTTTAGGTGGTTAAAAATAACACTTGTTAAATTCCAGCCAAAATGTGAATGGTAAGCATAATGTTGTTGTTGTTAGTAAATGAAGCGTGCTTGTTACCGCTGGCGAGTAAGTAGAACGCGGCAGTATGCGGAAATAGGATTTTACTTACTTTTCCAAAAAAACCTCAATTTTTATATTTCAAACATTTTTTAACCGAAACAAGTTACCATTAGTTAATAAAAAAAAATTTATTTCAAATTTTTTTAAATTGCCTTTTTAAATGCGGGATTTTCAGGGGTAAAAAAACCCGGGTTTTCATCAAATCTTTATATTACATAAGATAATTCCCAAATTTCCTCAATTTTTTTTCATGTTATTAAATAAATGATAAATTTTTTAAATTAAAAACCAAGAAAAAGAAAAAAAAATATTTGAATCATTGTTTTTGTGTGTCCCTAGAGATTGGTTGATTAGACCATGTTACAACAGAGGTAGCCAGTTTTTTATTTATTATAAGTTTCTACGATAAATAGACTTTTTGGAAGTAAAATAATATTCTGGCTACCTCTGTAATAACATGGTATAATATCAATTCATTGTAGGGGGTTTTATTAAAACCGGTTATTTAATAAGTATAAAAAACAACACTAATTGCTGGGCGGTACATTAATACCCAATCTTTAAATTATTACTTCTAAATAAAGCGTGGTTTAATGTTTTCAAATGGTTACTTTGAATATCAGAAAACTTTTGTTTGATGGTTTTCCTCCAAGGCAGATTTTCACAAGTAAAAATGTATTTGCATGTCCTTTATTTTGCAGTCCACGTTTTTATCACTTTATGCTTGTTACACAGAGAATTTCAAGATTTTTAAAAATCTGCCTTATTATTTGATAAAAATTTGTTTATTATGGATCCAAAAGTGTAAAGTAGTAAATCACCTTATGTTATTTTAAGATACTTTGCTTGATAAGTTGCAATTTATCAATGAGAGTAAGCAATAAGTAAAGCAGAGTATGTAATATATAAATATATATATATATATATATATATATATATATATATATATATATATATATATATATATATATATATATATATATATATATATATATATATACCAACGCAATATTTATTACATGTAATAAATATTGCGTTGGTTTATATATATTTATTACATGTAATAAATATTGCGTTGGTATATATATTGTTGTATACAACAATAAAAATCCTACCAAGAAGTTATTTTTTTTAGCTAAAAAAAATAATTTGAAATTATTTTTAATAAGTAAAAAACCATTAAAAAAAATTACAACATTCAGATATATCTACCAAGACCCTCCCTTTTGCGTCTCATAGCTCCTTTAGTGTCTCTGAAAAAGACAAATATGAGAAATTTCTTTTAAATTGCCTCTTCAAGACAACTTGCACAGCATCAAGACAAGCAGAAGCTTATATAAGTGTTAGTGGTTAGCAATGGAGCATATATTGATTTTAAAATATTAGGGGCAAGAGTATTCTGCGAAACAGAGCAGCTGGATAAGATTTACAATTTGTAATTATTAGCAAAACTTTTTTCACTACCTGAATACCAGAAATATGATCAAAAGTTGCATCCTTAGCCGAAACAAAATTTTTTCATTCAAGGTAAGTAAGGAGTTTCCCAAACAATGCAAGCATGCACAGTTCTTTAATGGCAGTTTTATTACAAAATGCCCCTTTCAGAATTGCTTGCAAACTTTTACATTTAACTGTTCCAACAGTGAGGAAATGTTTAAACTCACTGTAATGCTTCATAAAAATGAAACAAGTATGAAAAAGAATATGAAGCCTATTTCAAGAATATCTAGGAATAATACTTTGTGGTAGATGGTTTTCATCTAAAAAATTTACAAATCCTTTTGGATCACCTTTGACGCCTATAAACCTCATTTTGTTCATGGCTAAAACAGTTATTTATCTTAAAATGTTTAGTGACTTGTTGAGATGTTTTGATTAACGAGCATCTATTTTTTGTAATTATAAAAGAATATGTCCATTTCTACAAACTGTACTGCACTCTGTATTAGAGTCAATACTTAATTGAGACAATTCAAAACTATTAGTTAAATACTTTTTGCATTCACCATAAAAGACAGACATCATTTTTGAATCCATGATAGCTAGAAAAAAAAAATAAGATTAAGTAGTTTACTTTTTGATGAATAAAAAATAATAATATATTAAAATAATGATAAATATACTAACATTACAGCTGCTAACTACATTACAATTATTTAAATCAATTATATAATCTATATTATAATCATTATTGTTATTACTAATACCTTCTGCCCCCTCTTCCCAGCCTTTGTGTATGGCATTATTAAAACGTAAAATAGTTTTTTTTAATAAAATTTGGCAGGTAGTAAGAACAAAGGTTTTTAAAGGCGAGAGTCTATATTTGAATAATGATCCAGCATTTATTTGATATATAATTGATGTCCAAACAACAAGCTAATTCTTACCTAATTGGAGTAAAGATTTAAGGTGTCTGGGTATGCTTTTTTTTTCAATGAAATTTGGTAGGTAGTAAGAAAAAAGGTTTTTAAAGGTGAGAGGCTATATTTCAAAAATGATCAATGATTTCTTTGATATATACTTGATGTCCAAACAACAAGCAAATTTTTAACAACAATAAAATTCATAATAAATCAAATTTTACATCAAAAAAATCTATGCAAAATTATATATATATATATATATATATATATATATATATATATATATATATATATATATATATATATATATATATATATATATATATATATATATATATATATATATATATATATATATATATAATATATATTTGTATATTTATATATACACACACAAATTGCTTTTACTATGTTTTACAAAAACACTTCTAAGTTTGACATTTTTGTTGGTGTTGTATATGCTTTAAAGCATTTTTTTATTATTTATAGTGTACTACAAAAAGTTGTATTGAGACTTACTCATTGGTTTAAACAGCACGACGACAAGATTGAATGAGTATAGATTTTAAATCAGAAATCTGAATACCTACTTGAAATCACTACTAATAACATTTTAAAAAACCATACTTATGTCACAATCTGTATAATCTGTATTCTAATTATCATCCAATTGGTTCTTTGTCTGAGAGAGCTATTGAAGCCAAAAACAAAAAAAGCAAAACTGCACGAGTTAATCATGCATGTCTAACTTTCTTGGAAGAAAACACTAGGGATACAGTTAGTTATTTAATTGTGACTATGTACCTCTATTAAGTTTTTTTTTTGTGAATGTTTGGCCATTGTTTGTAGATTAAACTATTTTTCTTAGACTATTTTTGTTAATTTTTTTTTTGGTAAAGGAATCTCAATATAACTTACAATAACAATTCAAAGTTTGGTTGTTTTTTGTTTAAAAAATATTTAAGAAATAATTTCATAAATTTTAACTAGTAATTAACTAATCTAGAAAGATGTATATCATAAACTAAAATGTTGTACTGATAAGCTGTTCTGTATTGAATTTTTAAAATTAATGTATTTTCATAGCCACATGTTGTTAAAAGCATCTATTAGAACGTTGAGAAACTTTGTAAGAAACCAAAGAATCAGATGATAGCATATTTGTTTATAATTTTAATAAATTTGTATTTAATGATATTAATTAAAATTTTCTAAAAAAGTTTGTAAAATTCAATAAAATATTGGCGCCTACTGTTTTTTGAATAAAAAAATCCGGACATAAGTAATCTTCCAGATTAGTCAAAAATTAGTCCGGATGAACCGAAAAAATACAGTAAGTTTTTTTTTTTTAATAAAAACCGGATATTTTTCTTTTAAATATAGAAATATAAACAAAGATTCTATGTCTTGTAAAAAAATTAGCTCAATATGTTGAATGCTTCCTTATTTATAAGCCTATTTCTTCGTTTTGTATTAGAGCGACGCATAGTGCGCGGGTCCGCACTATATTTTAAACGCAATAGTTCCGGAAAACCCGCAAATGGAGCCGGACTTTATTTTAGCCTTATCTACTTAATATCTTAATATTTATGAATCATGTTATATAAAGTTAATTATAAATAACTTATATAATAAATAGTTAATATAAATAAACGCCAGTAAGAATTCAAAAGCTACACAAGTCACGCATTTATAAACATCGGAGTTTTTCGTTTTTTCAATAACTGTCTGATTTTTAGATTTCTCTAAAAAAAGTTCTTACTTTTAGATTTTTTTTTAACATCAAATCATTTAAATTGTTTAAAAATATCATGTTTTATTAAAATTGTTCATAAAAAATAAATCACAACTTTGTACCAAATTTAAATCTGAACGAAATATTAAATCCAACTGTATTTTTGTAATTAATATTAATCCAACTGTAAAATGCTATAATGGTAGATTCGTGATATTTATTTAAAAAAGTATGAACGATATTAAAGTAATTACCCTCTTGAAATCTCAATTGTTTAATTAATACAAGTACCCCAACACCTTAACCACCATTACCAAAAAGTTTAAGTTCTGATTTTACCCGTTCTCTATGACAAAGCCTCATCGTTTTCTGCTTTGAGTATCATCGTTCTTTATTTTTATTCTTCATATCTTTATTTTAATTTTTATATTTTTTCTTTTTTATATATTTTTATTTTAAAGATTGTAATAAAGTACAAAAAAAAAAAAAAAAAAAAAAAAATTGTCTTGCTTCTTTGAATTATAATATATTTTTTTTAATTTTATTTATCTTTTTATTATTATAATTTTTTTATTACATTAGTTAATTAAAAAATTGTTTTAAATGTCTTCAAGCCATTTACGTCGCATATTTACTAACTAGCAAATTTTTTTGAATAATTGTTGAAAAATGTTGTCATTTTAAATTTTGAAATTTTGAATTGGTATCTAAAGTAAAAGCAAAACGATTTTGCAAAACAGTTGTTTCGAGTCAAAAATTTATAAGCGTTACACGAAAAAAATTACTTCATTAACAACGAAAAAAACAACAGAAAAACAGCGTAAAACGAACTTCCCTCGAAAATTTAAGTCGAAATAAAGTGATAAATTAATTATGCTTTCACTGAAGTTTTAATTAATTTTTTATTATATATTTTTTAAAGTAATTGGGAATAATTTTCAGAAAACAAAATGTCTACTCCAGCTCGTCGAAGATTAATGAGAGATTTCAAACGGTGAGATAACCATGAGCGTAATTTTGGTAACTTATAGACAATCTTACTTTATTGTGCATCTAAATAAAAGTTATAAAAGATGTTTGCTCATGTTACAGTTTTAAAAGGTCACTTTTTTATGCTAAACTAAATTTTTAGCATTTTTGTGCGTTGAAACACGGTTAATAAGTATTTGATATATTTTGTGTGGCGAAATGTTTTCTCTATTCTTTCTTGAAAATTACTCAATTACATTAAAAATGACAGTAATTGTAGTTGTTTATAAAGCATTATTATTTTAATAAATTTAAATTTTAATATTAAAATCAATTTGTAGGTTACAAGATGACCCTCCCACTGGCGTTAGTGGTGCACCTTCTGAAAACAATATAATGTTATGGAATGCTGTAATATTTGGGTACGTACTATGCAATCTAAGTATATTTTTTGCAATATTTTTTTTATTTTTTTTAAAGTTGTTAAAAAGTTTAATATTAGTTCAATACTTTTAAAAACTATTGTCATTTTATGTAGGGTGATCGAAGTAGTTAAGCTTCACATTTTATGTATTTTAATTTCTTTATTTTTAATTAAATGCATGTTGAAAAATACTTAGTGTATATTTTTAATGAATGAAACAGGAGAAATCATTTTATTATATAGTATTGACCATTAATAACAATCTGTTATGTTAATTTAGGATGAATATAAGTTTGAAATTAAATATTTTAAAAACTAAAAGAGGTTTTTTAAAAAATTTTTTAAATTAAAATAAATCACAATACAAATTTAAAAAATAATGATAATAAAAAAAAGTCAAAACTTAATATAAAAATGAAAATTTGAATCAACCTAAATGTTCATTTTACTGCTGAAAAGAATATTGTGCCACATGCTTTATTATCTTTAATATCTTTAATATCGGCTGATTATCCAGTTAAAAATTGCATGTGTTGTGTTAATGTTTTGCAATTTCTCTTATTGAGATGTTTTGTTTATTCATTACTATGATTTTACATTTTATTATCAATAATTTTGATTCCAATTAATTTAATCATTTTATTGCTGAAATATTACAGTTAATTAGATACTCATTTTTCTATTTCATTTTACGAAAATTTTTCAAATATTTATAACAAAAATAAAAATTCTCAAATGATTATAAATAATTCTAAAATAATTGCAAAGTACAAATAAAGCTTTGAAGGAAATTTGAAATAATAGAGTGGATTGTTAATTTTGGCCATTATAATTATTTTAGATTATGAGATATACATCAAAAAAATATTATTAGCTCACGGAACAGTATCTTTATGAATAACTATATTTGAAAGAAAATCTAATGCTCATCGATATACCCTTTTTATATTTAAAAAGAGTCCAACAATCATATATATATATATATATATATATATATATATATATATATATATATATATATATATATATATATATATATATATATATATATATATATATATATATATATATATATATATATATATATATATATATATATATATATATATATATATATATATATATATATATATATATATATATATGTATATATATATGTATATATATATATATATATATATATATATATATATATATATATATATATATATATGTATATATATATGTATATATATATATATATATATATATTTATTTATATATATATATATATTATATTTGCGGTAGTGGTGTAGTGGTAAGAACGCTTGCTTTGTAAGCGAGAGGTTCGGAGTTCGACTCCCACCACGTCCCTGGAAGTACCGCGCTCAACTTAGTTTCTCCGCGCAGCGGCCTTGCTTGTCAAGGTTCGTGTTTCGGAGTTAAAGAGTTGAGAGAGGGTTGTACCACGAAATACAACAAAAAAAAAATAAAAAACACAAAAAAATGAGTAGCCTCCTCGACTGTAGTGGCCCCCTCGGGCCTTGGGGAGGTGAATAATGTAAAAAAAAAATATATATATATATATATATTTTATATATATATGTATATATATATATATATATATATATATATATATATATATATATATATATATATATATATATATATATATATATATATACGCAGACACACAAATATATCGACCTATCTTTGCTTTATGACGGCCTACATATGTACGCCCTGAATCTCTTAAAGTATTGGCATGCAAAAATAAATATGTAATATTCTATATGTAATATGTATATTCTAATATGTAATATAATAATATAATAGAAATATAATATAATATAATAATATGTAATATAATAATATAATAAAAAATGTAATATTATTTCATTATAAGTTCATAATTTGTTTATCGTAATTACTTGTTTTTTCAAGTTTTACAAGTTTTATCAAAAAACTTGTCAAACTTGAAAAAACAAGTAATTACAATATTTTTCGTTTTTTCTCAAATTTTAAGTATTTTAAGTAATTTTTTTAAGTATAGCAAGGTTATTTATTAATTTAAAAGTTAATGAAATTTAGTTTTCAAATGTCTGTTGTTTTCATGCTTTTTTACTTAAACTTAGTGCAATTATTATTTTAATAGTTTTTAAAATCTAATATTAAATTATTTCTTCTGTTATAACCGTTCGTTTACATGTTAAGGATTTTTTAATATTATTTAAGATCAGTCTATTAGGTTTAGTCTTGGTTATGTTGAACATATGTTAATAAAAAAACATTGAACTTTTTTAAAATTTAATTGAAATTTTTCATTAAGGTTTTTGACCATTCAAAGTAAGAAACACAACTGCCTTACACAAAGCAAACTCAAATAATTGCACTGAAACATTGTTTATAAATTAAAAAAAACTAACTATATTTAGTATTATTTTTTTAAAACTTTTTTTCTTTTCTCTCCACGTTATTTTTAAAGGATCAGATCATTTATTTACATAAAGTTACAAGTTCATACTATGCTACAATTTCAAAGAGTGTTTTTTTTTTATTAAAAATTAGAAAACTACTACTATAGGAGTTAGTAAGTTCTCATTTCGCGTAGATATGAACAACCAGATGTAAACTGTAAATGAGTGTAAACTGTCTATTCATTTTTTAAAACAATTTGTTGTTAACAAAATCTTCGCCAACAGCACATAAATTAAATCTGTATTTCTTAACATTATTCTGTCTATTATCAATCTAAAAAACTAATAAAAATGTAATAAATAAAATTAATAAATAATGTTTTTTTTGTTCGTTTGTTAAAAATCAACTTATTTGTAAGTTTGATTTATACAGTTTAATTGCTACATTCATAAAAATATTATCTAAAGCTATGCTATTAAAAAGTAATGCTTTTATAATCAATTATTTACTACCCCTTTTGTAACACACGCAATAATTAATAATCATATAGAGGAGCAAAGTTTATAATGTTTATAAGCTTATTAAGTTCTTATGCATTCTTTTGTAACATGTTTTAGTATAATTTTAGTAATTTCATTAGATTTCAAGTATAATTCCAAGTAAATACATTCCTCAAGAAAAATTTTTTATCATTTTTGTATATCCTGATTTATATTATCTGCATTTTTAAACAGTTGCTTAAATTGGTACATTATAAAATGTTTTTTTAACTAAAAGTTTAAAAAATAATTTGAAACATCAAAAATAGTTTGTTTCACTATTGATAATTCTAGCTTAACTTCTACCTGTTCTGTTAATCATCAAATATGCATCAAATATGTTTGATAATTGTCACATGCTGAAAATTTTTTTCCCCGAAATTTTAATTTTAAACATTTTATTGATTGTTTCTATTCTAAAAAATATCTTTTATGTTTATATCAATTGCATAAACTAAATGTCTAAAGTTAATGTTTTTGCTATTTTAGGCCTGATGATACACCATTCGAAGGAGGTAATTATTTTGAAATATAAAATCATAAAAAATATAAACTACAATTTATACAAGGAAAGGTTCATTATGTTATCTAATTTAACAGTTGTTCTTAGTTTAAGGGTGGTTTTATTAGGATTGATGAAGATCTAAGTAATATAAACTTTTTGATATCTGAGAAGCACATGGTTTTGCACATATTTGGGTGAGTTTTTGGTGTAGTGAGGTTTGTTTGGTTTTCCTGTAGTGAGGTTTGCTTTATTACAGTTATGGCTATTATGATTCAGGGTACAGGCAATGATAAAAGTAGCTAGGAGGCATCCTTGATAAATGGTGCTAGCAACATTTTATCAGGATTTGGTGAATGTGTATTGTGGGCCTATAGATGGAGATTCAGCTATACTAGTCGACTTCTTATCTTTTATTGGATCTTACAACACTAATATTTTTTAGTTAAATTTCTACCCTTAACCCTTTTAAGGAGAGAATATTTCTATATAAGGAAAAATTCTCTCCTTAAACAAGTATGGCAAGCTTCCCCTTTACACAGCTTTTTACAAGTGATTTTAATTTTTTGTGCAAGCTACTTGTTAACGCTTAAAAAAAAACGCTTATTAGATACAAACTTTTTATACTCATTACAAACATATGCTTAAAACGTTAATGTTATACATTACAAACATATGCTTAAAATGTTAATGTTATACATTACAAACATGTGCTTAAAATGTTCATGTTATACATTACAAACATATGCTTAAAACGTTAATGTTATATATTACAAACATATGCTTAAAACGTTAACGTTATGCATTACAAACATGTGCTTAAAACATTAATGTTATACATTACAAACATGTGCTTAAAACGTTAACGTTATACATTACAAACATATGCTTAAAACGTTAATGTTATACATTACAAACATATACTTAAAACGTTAATTTTATACATTACAAACATATGCTTATAAAATAATTGACTGTTTTGCGTTTTTTGTATTAGATACAACAATGCTTTTCTTTTACAAGCAATTTTGTGAAATTATTGTCATTAATGTTATGATATTTGTATTGATATTATATTTAGAATTGCAAAAAAAAAAAAAAAAAGTTTTTTTTTTTTTTTCACTTTTTTTGGACAAAAAAATGTGTATTATTGATTTTATTAGCATTTTTTGGTGCTTTTTTCTGCTTTTTTTTTTAGCAATTTTTATTTTTTAGGCATAAATATTAGAATAGTTTTTGTTGATTCTAGTATATTTTTAGTATATGATCATTAAAAGCACAAATACATGTATAAACACCAATTTAACTTTATTTTAAATACCTATAAGTTAGTTATAAATCTAGGTATACTGTATGGGAATGTTTGTTTGTCATGTTGTACTTCCTAACAACTGTGAATCACTCATTTTATATGGAAACTTTCTTATCCTATAAGAAAATTACCATTTTAAGAAAGCAATAATTTAGTAATTAACATGTATTTAAACTAAATAAGATATTAAAAATGCATTGGTAGCTGTAAAACAATGTACAGCTGTAAATAATATATGAAAATTTGAATTTAAAAAATCATTTATGCAGTATTATTGCTTTAGCTTAACTGCATTTGTTGAAGCTTTCAGATTCTGAATTTTCCCAGACCACATTCATCTGATGATTCCTTATAATTTTTTTTTATCTGCATTATTTTTAGATCTAGACATTTTCATATAGTACCAGGGGTGCAGAGTCCCAAAAAGGACTCTGGATTTAAAAGTTTTCCTATTATAAGTCTTTAAAAATATAAAAAAGTTTATGGACTTATAATAGGAAAAAAAATTATTATTTTTAGGTAAGAAGAACAATCATTTTTTGAACCCGGAGTCCTTAGGTATAATGGCAGCACGGACTCCAGGACTCTGGGCTATAAAAGCAATGAATTTCAAGTCATTAAATTTTATGAATTTTTTTCTTATGGCAAATCATAAGTTAACAAACATGTTTAGAGCTTCTGGACTCTACAGACCTGAAAAAAATAGAGATATAAAGCCAGAATCCTTTTAGAGCTTTGTATCCCCTGTATATCAAGATACTTGCAAGACTTTCCAACATGCTTTTTTTTTCAAGATCAATTTTTAAATAATATTATGGGCAACTTAGGTTTCTGCCTCCTGTTTGCAGAGCTCAATCATAATTGATTACCAAAAAGAATAACAAGAAGAAGAACTCAATAATTTGAAGATATTCTTTCTCTCTCTCTCTCTCTCTCTCTCTCTCTCTATATATATATATATATATATATATATATATATATATATATATATATATATATATATATATATATATATATATATATATATATATATATATATATATATATATATATATATATATATATATATATATATATATTTATATTAATCTCTTTCTATATATTTATATAAAATATCACAACTCTGTTTTTTAATGTGCTTTTTAATCTTTTATGTTTATCCTTTTTTAGATTTGATAACAGAAAAACTACAGTTTTCTTATCAAAAATAAAAAACATGAATTTTTATAAGTTTTTTGATATTATTTTTTACAATTTTTTTTTTTTTGCTTTATATAAAATTTCCTTTTATTTGAGTACTAAGTTGATCTATTTTCAAAGAAATTTTTTTAATAGAATGAATAGAAACTGGACTTGAGCATGTACTAAATATTGGAGAATTAAATTTAAATTTGACTTGAATTAATCACAAAAGATAACAAAAGCACATAAAAATAACTTCTCCGCACTGCATAGATGTGTTTGAAATGAGAAGAAAATGTTTTTTTTACTAATTATAACTTTATATTATAACTATGTAATATTTACATTCTATCATTTACATTCTATCATTTACATTCTATCATCGCATTTATCATACTAAAATTCTGCTTTACTAAAACAAAAATTTATTGTAGGATAGAGTTACTTTTATTATCAAGTGGACAAGTTCCATTTGTATAATAGCATAGAGTTACTTTTATTGTCAAGTGGACAAGTTGTTATCCATTTGTATCAAGTGGACAAGTTGTTATCCATTTGTATAGTTAAATCTTAAGTGCTACAAAAATAAAATTAGTGACTTTAGCCAGAGTTTTTCATTTTTCCAATATCTAAACAATAATAGAGAATAACAATAATAGATACAAAAAAGAAAGTGGTTTATATTCATGACAAAATTTTACCTTTGCAAGAGAAGTTTTGTTTATTTCAATACTAATCAATAAATTTAAATAATCAAATAGTGTTTTAATCAATAATTTAAATTAAATAAATTTTTTTAATAAATATAATAAATGTAAAAAAAAAAAAAAAAGTACATATAATGTTAATATAATAATTATCATTATTTTCAGTATATAATCATTTGTTATTAAATTTTCTTGCTTCAGTATATAATCATTTGTTATTAAATGCATCTAAGCCACTTATAATCTCATTTTTTATCATATTTAACATTTTCAGTTGGCATTTTGTTCACAAATCTATCTTGTTAGCCCTACTAACTAGATTAGGATAATAAGGGATTGAAGGAAGTAGATTGCCATCAGGAAAACATTTGCTTAGTCTCTTTCAGTATTTTTACTACATTTTAAAAAAGGATATTGGAAAAGCAGCAACCCACACTATTAAGAGAGTTGAGTATTTCTAGTTTAAGGTAAAATTTAATAAAGCATCGACAAGATTTTATCTAAAAGCTACAGCAATTCTCCTGCAAGTGGAAAAATCTCAAGAAAAACACGAATCACCAGACAAAAACTCAACAAGCAAGTGAAACTACATTTAAAACCACAATTGAGAAATTATTTGATTTTGCATACTCTGAAGCTATGGTGAACTCATTGTCGATCAAAAAGACAAATTTTTCTTGGAATCAAAACAAAAGAAGGAAAGACCAGGGTATTACTAAAAAGCACATTTCGTTTTTTCAGAAAGGGCATAGCGTTAAAAGATGAACTTGTACTTGTATTAACATAGAATAATACTTTTTTCCAAATCGAAAAAAAACTCCCCCACCAGTGGTGATTGATGAAAATTCGGTCCCAACATAAAAAATTTTAATAATTGTACATTTTTTATTCAAAGAAAGACTATTTTAAGGTTTTATCCAAGATTTTTAATCTGTTGTTTTAGATTTTAAACAATATTAAGCTACAACCATTAAATTTGCTTCTTCGACTTCTTTTTTTTCTGAAAGTTTTAGATCTAGACATTTTCATATAGTCTTGAATAAAATTTAAAAAAATTTATCAGCTAGGCACATAGCCACAAACTTTCATTGAAATACTAACTGTGTTTTTTGTGTTTTTAAAGTGTCTTAAGAACTTTTCTTTAAAAATTTTTGTTTTAGGTGCCCCAAGAAGAACTTATGGTCTTTTCATAGAGCACCGCAGAAGAGCATTTAAATAGGAAGTTCTTGCCTTTTTCCTTACCGATGCACAGTGGGCCAGAATTTTTTTCCTTGGCCAAAAGTCTCAAAAAAGTCAAATCTTCTAAACTTTTTTTTAATTTTATTATTGAAACATAAGTGCTTTACTCTACTCAAAAATGTATCCGTTTTATTACTAGAGATAGTAAGCTTACTAGAACCATTCATAATGGCTTTGAAATTGTCGAATTTTAGGAAAAATTTTTTTTTCAAAAATACTTATCCTCAAAATTTACATAACTTTTTTCAATTAAAAAAACTTTTGACTTTTTTCATTTTAAGTAAACATTAACTTAGTGCTAATAAAAAGTAAATGTTTTAGTTATATATTTGTATTTAATTTATTCTTAATATGTCTTAGAATTGTTGGTATTTTGAAGGGGTTTTTCTAAATTTCCTCGTCTTCCTTTTTCTAAATACCACTCAAAGATTGTTTGATTTTCTGATTTTTGCATTTACTAAACGGCAGTTATTGTTAAAAAAAAACCCAGCTGCAACCATGTATTCTTTATGATATATTTTTAAGTTCAAAATCGACGACTTTTTTTGCTTTTATAAAAAGACCAATTTAAAG